CAGGGAAGAGAACTGTTATTAAACAAAACAGTCCTCTTCCCCGTCAGAGATTGTCGGAAATCACTTGGCACCGGTGAGTAATTACCGGCTGGGATCCAGTGATTGACGACCGCGAATGGTGGCGCGGGTAGCCCCCTACCTAGAAATGCAAAATCATGTGTATATATACATGATTTTGCGCCCCCGTGCTGCCCTGTAGCAGTATTTCTGCTATAAGGCAGACGGGAAGCAGTTAAACAGTCTCTATTCCACGGGAGGGTGTTTCATCAGCAAAATGGGCTTCTTTTCAGCAGGAACTGTGGCTTTGCACATTCTGAAGCTCAGACACATAAGCAACTTCTCTGCAAGGTAAATTAAAAGCATAAGCAAAATTACCATGAAATCGGCATCTCCTGTAAACCACAAAAATATGCTAGCAAAGAAATCGCCAAGACCTCTTAGACCTTTAAGAAGGATTCAACCTATCATCCACAATCTTTCTAAATTTGGCTTGAAGGAGACCAAATACCTTTCCTGTGTTGTCCAATAATCTTATAAATGGACTTGGGCTTTTAGTTGAAAGGGGACTGATTAGTTCACAACATTGACAAGTTTTGTAAACTGACAGATGGGGTACAATTCAAGAGGGCTGTGACATTTACTGGGATTTCCACAAGGGGCATGCTCCATATACTAGGGTGCAATTTGTTACAAATCCAGCCTTGGCTATGGTCCGTTTTCTGGGCATATTGGTATTTGAGCTTCAAGAAAAGCACCTTTTTAGTTAGTGATTTATGGCGTGTCAAGTTCTATTGTGTCAGATTGAGTTCCTTTTGATGTCCTGATACTGCCCTGCACCTGCTTTTATACTATGAAATTATGCAATGTACCTTTTTCATTACAATAATTTTTATTGTGTTTTTTAACAATTTTAAATACAAAGATCAAATGTGACCGCATACTAGTACATAAAACCAGGATGCAAAAGTAAACATCTGTTAATGGCAGTCTTATGTGAGTAGAACAAAATTGAAATAAGTAACATTCTAAACAATTTGTCATATGATAAGAAGTAAAACATACTGTATGTGTCAATTAGTTGATATACAAAAGGTACTAAATTTTTTGTGATTCATCAGCCAACTTTGGTATAAAGAGGTATTGTGAAGGATACGCAAATTTGCGATCCAAACGGGAGGTGTATAAGACACCTCATGGTTCATATGGCATCCTTGTGGAAGAGCCAAAAGAAGGAAATCTAGGAAAGCGGACAGTAAAAGAGAAGAGATAGATCAGGAAGTGGACAACTGTAACGCCTGGGTTCGACTTATAAGAGAGAATTCGGCTATAGCGTGGTGAAACGCCCCGCTGAAATATCAGGGTGGGCATGTTGGATCCATGGAGTCCAAATTCTGAGAAATCACTCATGGGTATCTAGGAGGATGCTGGACAGTTTTTCATTGATCAGGAAGAAATTGAGGTGGCGGTGAATTCTGTATAGGACATGAACTGTTGTTTCCATGCTTTCGCTATGATTTTTTAGCTGCCAGTAATATATGGGTGGCAAGTTTGAATTGGTGTTTTAGATAAACCAGGGGGTTTTAATTGTAGGAGAGTATACTAAGGGTCTCTCGGGAAGGGGCTCATGAATGATTGAAGCAGTTTGAGAACCCTTGACCAGAACCGGGAAAGCATTGGGCATGTCCACCAAAGGTGTAGAACATCTCCCGGTGTGTTACACCCTCGGAAATAACTGTTGGGGACTGATGGATGAAGAAATGCTAGGTGAGGTGGGACCACATGCCACCGTGTGTGCGTTTTAAATGCAGATTCTGCAGACAGTCTAAGGTGTTCTCATCCCAAAACATCAGAGACCTGTAACTCTGACTGTAGCACTGCCAGTGCCAATGTGAGCTTAAGAGGTAAGAGAGCAGTTTGCTCCTCTGCCCTGTTCACTTCTGCCTTTCTCATACTTGCTGTGGTATGAACTTCACAATGGCTACAGCAAGGGGCTTAGGAAAGCTTTAACCACTTCCTGTCCGACCCATATATATAAACAGCCGGACTCCCTCCTCTGGGTCCTGTGGGATACTGCAGCTGAACTTCCAGGGTGGGCTCTGCAAATTAATTAGCTCAATGCTTCATGTTTTCACCCAGAGCTTCACTCAGAATCTTCTTGGCTGCCTCTAGTTCACTCATCTAGACCCAGAGGAGGGAGTTTCCATCTCAGGCTGCAAACACCCATCCATCCTTAAAGGGGACCTCTGGCAGGAATAGTTCCTTGAGTATCCAGGAGACATCCGTTGGGCTGTACCATCCAGAGGGAGGATATTCCGTACCCGGCGTACCTCATCCATCCTTAAAGGGGACCTCTGGTTATACATATTACATGCGTATTTATAATACGCATCTGGTGAGTGCGTATTTTTAGCACACCTTTTGGGCACATCACTGAATATTGAAGATATCTACAGCTGTGATTGGCACCCTAGTACGAACTGTCACTTTATGAACATTTTATATTTATTTTATGACACATTCATTTATACCTATTTCAATGGACTTAATTTGATTTATTGTAAGAATTTAGCACTGCACCTTTTAGTTTATATGTTTATTGAGGTTTTTTTTTTTTTATTGAGGTTACCTTAGTGTGCAATAGCAGCTATTTTTGAGCGCTCACTGATCCCTACCTTTTTATATGATTTTTTGCAAAATAGCTCAAGCTCTGTCAGATTGGATCTGTGAACAGTAATTTTCAAGATTCTCAATTAGATTTAGGTCTGGACTCTGGGCATTCTAACACATGAATATGCTTTGATCTAAATCATTCCATTGTAGCTCTGGCTGTATGTTTAGGGTCATTGTCCTGCTGGAAGGTGAACCTTCGCCCCAGTCTCAAGTCTTTTGCAGACTAACAGGTTTTCTTCTAAGATTGCTCTGTATTTGGCTCCATCCATCTTCCCATCAAATCTAACCAGCTTCCCTGTCCCCGCTGAAGAAAACCATCCTCCTATCCATTGCTGCATACACACATACATTTTCAAGCCACTGCTTGGGCACAATTAACATTTCTAGATGTTCACTTTTTGAGTTCAGGCCTACTCTAAGTCCTTGACACTAACAATACCAGTATGTAATGTAACTGAAGTGGGCTTTCTTCCATGATGCCACATATATGCGACATGTTTTTGTGCTGGAAGTGCACGTTATATCAAGCAGGGAGACTGCACTATCGTGGACAGCTCTCTGTCTCAGTCTAAAGCCAGCCATAAATGGATTGAATCTAAGCCAATTCAGTGTGGACCAGCCAATCCATGTATGGGGAGCCTGTTGGATGTTTTTCATGCGACTACTGCCAGCGACAGAACACAATAGTGCTGTGGGGAGGATTTCCCCATCAACACTAACTGTGCTATTGTGGAAGGACACAGAAATGGAATAATTTATGGGCTACTGAACAATAAGGAGCTGGGAGGACTGGCTCCCAATCATGTGATCACTGTAATAACCAATCACAATGATTGCTTGTTATCTAGTGAAGAAGTCTGTGTTTTAAAAACAAATGTAAAATAAAATGAAGATAAAATAGGTCAGTCAGCACTAGATGAGTGTCAATTTGGTGTCCGTGTGTTTTAAATAGGGTAAACAAAAGCAATGCACATTCTTTCTGGACTCTACTACAAGTAAAATCAACAAATAATGCACACACATGGTGTATGGGATCAACATGCGTGTCATGAGTTTGAAAATGTATTTTGGGTTGTTCTTTGGTGGTAGGTCATGGTAAAGGCAAGAAAGATACAGCAAAAGTTTTAGAAATATTAATTATATACTTGCTATTTTACTACAGTTTTTACTACTTTGGGCCAGCTTTCATTTTGAAGCTAAAACAAAATTTTGAGATATCCATTAAAGTGATACTAAACCTAAAAAGGATTTTTACCTTAGTGCATTGCTTACATTAATGTAAAAAACATTTTAAAATTTCCTGTGTGAAGGGGAAGAGAGGGGAGAAGAGATCAGCCCTGTGCACAGCTGCATTTCTTCTCTGCTCGGTTCCTCTTCACACAGGGTCTCAAACAGCAGGAGTCATTGGCTCTTGCTGCTGTAAATCAAATGCGGTGAAGAGGAAGTGGGGGTGGGTTCCGTAGACACACAGGTTGGGAGTGAGCATGCAACATGTATCCCCTAGCAAACGGCTTGCTATGTGGATGCACAAAAAAAGAGGAGGAGCCAGGATTGCCGGCGGAGGACACAAGAAGAGGAGGATCAGGGCCACTCTGTGCAAAACCACTGCACAGAGCAGGTGAGTATAACTTGTTAGTTATTTTAATAAAAAAAAATCTGCCTTTAGTAACACTTTAACATGTAATACCAAATGTAGGCCCAATTTGTTCTGGAAATAAACCAGGTAAAAATCAACTGGACACAAGTAGCTGCAAAGATACTGTATGTACAGTTTAACCAATACATGACAACATTGCAAAACTATGTACAGACATTAAGGTTTCTTTAGTTTTCATTCATTAAGGGGGGTTAAACATCATCTAGCTAATAGACCAGGTGAATATTAGAAAAAATATAGTCAGTGAAACAGTCGATTGCTAAACTTTTTTTTTTATTATTTTCGTTTTAAGTTCCCTAACTAGACACTGTTAGAAATTTTGTAATCAGGCTGACCATGTCAGTACCTACATTGTGTACTTAACACTTAAGGGAGAAGGTGGAGAGGGAAATAAAGGACAGTATTTGAATTTGTTCAATGTGTGTTTTTTTTCTATGCTCTGCATTTCTGAAAGTCTTGCGCTTCAAGAGCTGAAATAGATTGTGGTTGTTAGGGAAACCCATAGGAGGCACAATGCAAACAAAGAAAACTGTAGGCTTAAAATTGTTGTATTGACTCAGGGTGAATCCTCCATATAGCATGAGGAAATAGGAAACAGGAAAAAAAAATAATTTTCTTTTCAACAGAGATGTTTTTATCCAGTTCCTAACACTTTAATACGTTTCTTATTTAGATTTCCGATGAAAAATCCTGAGTATCTTGCCAAATGGCTTGCGGTGCTTCGCCGTGACAAGTGGAAGCCATCAATATACAGCAGACTATGTAGTGACCACTTTACAGAAAATGATTACATGCTGCGACCGGGAGCCTCATTTCCTTATCTGCGCCTGGATGCTGTGCCTTCCATTATTGATGGGGTCTGTATAAAAAAAGAACCAGTGAAGAAGCCTCCAAAACCAATAGAAAATGCTCCATCTACCTCAGTCTTGCCTAACAAGCCACCATGTAGTACACCTGCACCAGAGGTGGTCACAGTTGATGAGCACTCCTATTCTGTTATTTCTTATAAGGAGGTGGTCCAAACTCCAAAGGTAGATCCTGTTCTGGTTAATTTGAGGAGGAAGAAGAACACTTTGCAGAAACAAGTTTTAAGGCAGAGGAACAGCATAGTCAGCCTGAAGAAGCTGATTATGCAGCAGCGAAGCAACTTGCAGGGAAATGATCCTGTGCAACTCATGTCAAAGTACTTCAAAGGATTAACGTTGGATATGTTTAGACATTTGGTTCAAAATGGAAAGAAAAACAAAGGAGTACAATTCTCCAAGGAGGTCAAGGGGTTTGCTGTTACTCTATATTACTATTCCCCAGTAGCTTATGAACTTTGCCAGCCAGTCCTTTGTTTACCAGATTTGGAGACTTTGAGAGAATGGATGCCTTCAGTAGTGGACATGTCTCATTCTGGGGTAGTCATTCAGACAGAGGAAGCCAGCTAAATGGAATGGGATATTATAGTAATAGAAGACTAAGGGAGCTGTTGCTGATGGCAAGCAAGAGGTTTTTTTTTTTGTTATTTTAACAACCTGTACTAAAATTTGATGGATGAATTGGATTGGTTACTGTGAGCAACACAGATCACTTCTTCCCTTCTATTTTTTTTATACGTGTGACCCAAGAAAAAGCACTTATGATATCAGATTGCTTCTTTAGTCAATAAATGCGTTCTGGAAAAAATATAGCTAATTAACCAGGCTGCATCTGGGTTATATTTTGTTTGTTGAAAAGGGGTTTTCACCTTCAACAATAACCCATTCTGGTCACAGAAATGACCTTGTGCTGCATGTGCAGGAATATTCTCACTTAAGAACATAACTCTTACACGAGAAAAATATTTAGATTGTTCCAATAAATTCTTAGTAGATCACAAGTCAGGCCAGGCAAATTTAGGGTGGAAAATGTGTCCACTTAAAAAAAAAAAAATATGGCAAATGTTGCAGAGACCAATGAACGTCTATTGAAGGAGTGAAGGCAGCAGTGAATAAGGATGCCAGATATACTTTACAAATCAGATAAATTAATAATTTCCATACATATGGTTCGGTCTTGTGTGATTCTGCCATTCAACTCTTTGAGTTCTTGTTTCCCTGTGAGCTTACGGCTACTTTCACGCTGCTCCATTGTAAAAACGCATATGTGTGTTTGCTGCATTTCTAGCACGTAATTGCCGCGTTTCCGGTGCAAGAACACATGACTCAAAAAATGCACCAAAAACACAATACGTTGCGTTTTTAACATGGTTTTTTTTTTTTCTAATCATTTAAATGGTGAGGTGTGTTTCTTGATGTGTTTTTTTATTTTTTTTTTTTTACTGCACCAAACATGAATCAAAAGCACAGCTTGCAGCACTTTTGAAAAATGACACAGACCTGCAACTTGGCAGTGTGAAGAGTTCCATAGGATGGTCATGGTCAAAGGATGGAAAGGTCATGCATTTTCCTTCCACTTTTTTTAAAGCAAAAACAGAAGAAAAGTTGATCAGTGTGAAAACAGCCTGAAGTATACCATTATGTTTTAAAAGTTTTTTTTTTTTCTAGCAGCCTCCCCCCTACTCTCCCGGTCTCTCCTCTACCACTTATTACAGACCACGATCGGCCTACGTACCTTACCTGCTGCATCCTACACCGACTCCCATGATTCTTCAATCATTCTACTTTGCAAAGAAGTTGCTTCTCCAATAAGGGTTTTAGAAAGAAGCTGCAGCTGCATAGCTCACTGAGGCCCAAGAAGATGGCTACAGTTGGTATATAGCCACCAGCAAGTCTGCGGTGGTGGGTGGAGCTCTGTCTTAGTGGTTTAGGATCGATAAAATTGGATAAGGTAGAAATTTGGCACTTTTTTAAGTGAAAGAAAAGCCTAACTATAAATATTCTTAAAAAATGTTCTCTCCTCCTACCTATCCTGTAAAATGAGATATGTGTACTTATTTTTAATCTGATTTGGTCATGTAATCCTGCATCCTTGGCTCCTCTGTGTGCAGGAGATGCTGCAACAGGTGATAGGAGGCAGTACTGACGACAGCTGGACCATGGGAGTCTATGGGTGACGTCACAGCTGCAGGAATTTCTAGCAATTGTGAAGTGCTCCCTTACACGGGGAAGCTGGAGCTGCAAGACCAGATGCCCAGACTGGTGTGGATTAAAAATAGGTAATACACAGATCTTTATTTCTACAAGATAGGAAGGGGAAGAAACATTTTTAAGAATAATTATAGTTAGACTTTTTTTCCACTTTAAATAACGTTATCTTTACATACAACCCTTTAAAAGCCTGTGTAATTACATATAACCCAGGGAGAATTAGGACGCAGAACTACTAGTCAGATCAGATGCTGATTCTATTGAGGCTGTAAAGAGATAACCAAAGAATGTCTTGTTAAGACTATGGATTGGAATACTTTTGGTTAAATATATGCTAATGCAATAAAAAAAAAGCTGAAGTGAGAAACCAGTTAATTTTCAAGCTCCTATGTTTGCATTGTGAAAATAATTTGCATTGTTATTCCTTCTTTTCAAACTTGTTACTCAAAACTTCATATTATATAATTGTTTAATAAAGTAAACATATTTGACTTAGATTGGTGTTGTATGGAACAGACAAGTGTTTCCTCTGCTGGTAAAGTCCATCAATTTTCTAAAAATGGTATGTTCAGAGAGTATGCACTAAAGTGTATAGAGCAGCTAGCAGTGGGCAAGTATACAAAAACCCCAAAATAAAACAACCAAGGAATGATTTCCCTCATAAATAATATTGTATCCGACTTATAAGATTCAAAGCGTGAAATAACATAAAGAATAATAAACATTGAAAATATGAATCAAATAAATAAAAAGTCTTCTGAAATTCAATGTGTCCACTTGTGTTAGTGACTTCCACCATCAGAGTTTCATGACACCTCTAGTGACAGACACTAATAGTGCACTCACCAGCTCCAAAGCTGCCAATAAAGGACTGAAAACAGTGCGTTTGTATAAAGTCTTGACCCCTCTCATATGGTCATTGTTAAATCTAAATTATGATTCGGCACTTATATTGGTGGCAAGCTTGCAAAATATTTGGTTTTTATGATTAGTCATAATTAATATTAATATGTGTGAATGGTCTTTGACAAATGGTAGTATTTACTATTCTTCAATTATAGCTGAGACCAAAAGATATACAAGTTAAGCTGAAATAGTTTATATATACCAGTTGAAGGTTGAGTATATTATATTTAGGCATAGAAGTATTTGGTAGTTATGTCAAGGTTATTAGAAGTGACTTACTATTACATTACGTATTTTCTGTGTATATTTAGTATACGTTTCTAACATTGATACATTTACGTCATTAGCTTATAATATTGGTACATCAGCATACATATGTTCCTGTCCATCAAACATCATATGTTTAGCATCTTTACCTTATATGAAATGGCTTTGCTAAGCAGTAATACTTTCCATAGAAGGTATTGAGATCACTAACTATGACGTACATTTGCCTCTTAAAAGTGCATGAGACAGACACTCGGGGGGGCACACAATCTCGCTCACACACACAAGTAGCATGACTCTTGCATACACACGTCTGAGAAGCTGCAACAGGTGCATACTGAGATCACTTCCAGCTACAATTTAGTCACATCCGGCTTCTCCTTCTTTACAAAGTCATTGGGAAGGACAGCATGGAGCATGGAGCACATGGCAAGGACAGAACAGCCATGACAGATAATGGTGACTTTTTCTTTGAACTTTCGCTTGTCATTTTTACAGTAGTTGTATCTACATGGAACTGTTCATAATACGCTTTACATTGTTATTTGACATCATTGTGTGATAGAATAAAATCACACTTCATTTTTTATTTCAATGACTCTTTCATTCATAATCGCCTCAAGACACTAGAAGAAGTATTATATGTGTCTAAAAATCTAACAGTCATCCAGATCTATGATGCCCTTGAGGTTGCCTGATGATGACACCTCTCACCACTGGAGACAGACAGGTCACCTTTTCAGATGCTATATGGGAGAGAAGTGCTCACTGCATGGAGCCAACACGGGGGGGAATATAGTGTAGTAATTTCTTAAAACAACACAGGTATCGTGAAAATTAAGTAAAAAGCATCTACAGTTGTGACCAAAATTATTCAACCCCCACTGAAATTGAGTGTTTTGGCCAGTTTGACATTGCTTTTTGATCATTTCAGTCATCTTGCTTACATTTACATTAAAGAGGCACTTGTAGGTCAGACAAATATAACATAACAGTTTATAATGAAATAACCACAAATGTCTTTTCTGTGCTCACAGCATTATCAGTTTTATTCAACCCCCAAGTGACATTCAATCTTAGTACTTAGTACAGCATCCTTTTACAGTTATAACAGCTTTTAAACGTGAAGCATAGCTTGACACAAGTGTCTTGCAGCGATCTACGGGTATCTTCGCCCATTCTTCATGGGCAAAGGCCTCCAGTTCAGTCACATTCTTAGGCTTGCGCACTGCAACTGCTTTCTTTAAGTCCCACCAGAGGTTCTCAATCGGATTTAAGTCTGGTGACTGCGATGGCCACTCCAAAATGTTCCAGCCTTTCCTCTGCAACCATGCTCTAGTGGACTTGGAGGTATGCTTGGGATCATTGTCCTGTTGAAAGGTCCAACGTCTCCCAAGCCTCAGGTGTGTGACGGACTGCATCACGTTTCCATCCAATATCTCCTGGTACTGAAGAGAATTCATGGTACCTTGCACACGCTGAAGCTTCCCTGTACCTGCAGAAGCAAAACAGCCCCAAAGCATGATTGACCCTCCACCATGCTTCACAGTAGGCAAGGTGTTCTTTTCATCATAGGCCTTGTTCTTCCTCCTCCAAACATAGCGTTGATCCATGGGCCCAAACAGTTCTAATTTTGTTTCATCAGTCCACAGAACACTATCCCACAACTTTTGTGGTTTGTCCACATGGCTTTTGGCATACTGCAGTCGACTCTTCTTATTCTTTGGAGACAGCAAGGGGGTACGCCTGGGAGTTCTGGCACGGAGGCCTTCATTACGCAGTGTGCGTCTTATTGTCTGGGCTGAAACTTCTGTACCCACATCTGACAAATCTTTTCTCAGTTCCTCAGCAGTCACACGGGGACTTCTCTCCACTCTACGCTTCAGGTAGCGCACAGCAGTCGAAGTCAGCATCTTCTTTCTTCTGCCACGACCAGGTAGCGTTTCAACAGTGCCCTTTGCCTTGAATTTGCGAATGATGCTTCCTAAGGTGTCTCTTGGTATGTTTAACATCTTTGCAATCTTCTTATAGCCATTGCCCTTCCTGTGAAGAGAAATCACCTCTTCTCTTGTCTTCCTGGACCATTCTCTTGCCTTCACCATGTTTGTAACCACACCAGTAAATGTCTAGAAGGAGCTGAGTATCACAGTCATTTTAAAGCTGCCTAATTGGTGCTTATTATGCTT